TCCAAACCATAGAGTCCTTATGTTAAAAACACTGTCTACTATATGAGGATTTTTCTCTAGGAAACATACCCAAGTTATGGCATAAATTGAGCTTCTTAATTCAGCTGCTAAATTCCTTCAAACCTGTGCTTTAGTGCACTCCTGTGTGGCAGATAGCACAGATGAAACTATAAGACAAGCCATATGTACAACAAAGTAACTTAGCTTGACTTTGTTTAAAGCCCCAAATGCTAGCAAAGCTACACAAAGAACACGACTAGCCTTGTTTTCCTGAGTCTTAGGGGCTTTATTAACGCTTTTTTCAGCAATGGGAATTTTGCTGTGGGTTTCAGCAGGAGTATAGCTGCAGAAGTATTTAACCAATTGGGAGCAGATGTATGCTAGCTATTACATGATAATATAATTAATTGATAGTGAACTGTACTGAAAATAGTAATTAACTAAGACTTCACTAATCTGTTCTTCATTATCAATGTGTATTTTAATCTGCATTAAATAAATGGTATTGTCTTCCTAAAGCTCAGCAAAGACAAAACAGTAAGACTCTTAATTGTGGGAAGGTTGTCCAGAGTACATTGGGCATCTATGGAGACCTCTTAAAATAGAGGACAAATGAATGGAATAAGCTGTCCCAGCAGAATGCTCTAATACCATCCCATTTTACTGGGAAGCCCTCTGTTAATTCAAAGTATTATACTGTATTTTTACTATCTGCTTCTGTCTGTTGATATTTCATTAGCTGTAATTGCAGTGGTTAAGAAGCTCCACACTTTCTCACCAGTCCTATCTGCTATTAGTCCAGTTATTCATTTACATTCAGGTTGCAGAGGGTCTTGGTCACCACTGCAAGTTGGAAAGATGAGAATTCCCACTCTGGACCAAATCAACAGTCTCTTAAGTTCTTCTGAGAATAGCTTCCAACAAAGGTGTGAATATCCTGTGATGGATAATTGAGAAATAAAGAGCATGCAGGACAGGATTTTTCTGTAATAGTTGGAGCTGAGCTAAAATCAAAGCATAAGGCGTAATTAGTGTCTATGGTTATGGGATTCCAGTGGATTTTGAAAGTTATTTGTTACACATGGAGTTTTTTGCTCTTAGTATGTTTCTTTTTGATACATGGTTCACATCTCTGATCCATTTCAAACATAAACACAGGTGTACAGATGATGACAAGAAGAAATAAAACTTTCTTTGAAATATTAGGTAATTATATTCAAAATTCAGCATTGGCTGAGTGAGGAGATGTCTTACTACCTCTTATGCCTCTAAATCTCAGTAGGCTTCTCAGCATTAGGCACTGTGAATAGATGTGTACACATAGCTGGAGGAAACATAATTATTAACAGTGTTTAGCATAGCAGGCTTTGCTGATTATGGAATCACTCATTTTGTTTGAATTACAATGCTTAATATATGTTATTTATGTCTGTCTGTGCCATTTCTCCGTGGTGTTGAGCTATGGAGAGCTGGAGTAACCTAGGTACTTTCAGACACTTTGCTGACATCATTACATCAACTAATGTGTTACTGTAAAGTGTCTTTTGGATAAAACCTTACACAACAGAAAGGACCATGACTTGTATAAGCCCACACACAGTGAAGGATTTGGTGTTCATTTCTGAACTAAGTTTTCTTACTGACTCTGGGAACTTTAGTGTTTTTTTCACAATGGTGCCCATTCAGCATGTTATGAATAATAATCTATTAACGTCTATTAATAAATTGAAAATGGTGTGTTGTGTTTGGCTTTGTTTTGGTTTTTGTTGTTGTTGTTTGTAAATAGGAATTTTCAAACTGCTCAGGTAATTCTGGGAGAACTTGCGCATTTTGATGTTCTGTGGGGTTCTTGTACTCCTAAAAAGCTTACTGTAGTTCTTGGGCAAGTCCTTAGCTTTTAGCCACTCTCCAGAATTCATCATTTACTTATTACTTTTTTTCCATGTTGGTAGTCACCATGAAGTCCTCTTCTATCTGTTTGCTTCTCAGCACTTTCTCTATTTGTCCTGTCAGTGCCTTGAAAGTGTCATCTTCCAACCCTTCAGCACTAAAGGTGATTTCATCTTGCTGCATATTTGAAGGACAACACAACAAATTAGGAAACAGTCTTGTTTTGGGAGAGGATGTTTTGGCTTAGCCATTGTTTGGAGTACTTTATAAGGAGCAGGGTTGTGGGGGCAGAGATGAAGTTACATTACCTTTCCCCTTTGGATTAAGGCTGATGGCAGTCTGCCACCCTGCTTTTCCTTTAGAGCTATGACCCTGAGCTATTTTTCTGTTGGTTTCAACATTAAAATACAGCATATCACCCAATCAAGCAGGCAGCAGATTGTCTTGCAAGAATCTTATCAGCCTCAGAAGAGGCACTGATCCAAAATCTTGAGGAAATGCTACAGACACCTTCTTTTCTGCCTTGAGCTATGCTTCAAAATACATTAAAAATAAGTCAGTCCAGACTATTTTTATGACTGGCCTAATTTTGCTGGACATTTCAGAGTCTTGCTGAAGACATAACTATTTGACTTGAATTCTGTTAGGCTTCTTTTTACTGAAGCAGCTCACTACTACACAGGGTTTTAAGCACTCTCCTATTGGAACTACAGGGACGCACCCATGGGATGTTGGTGCTTTCAGAAAGGTAGCTATTGCACAGGGTTTGGGTTTTGTTTTCTGGGGTTTTTTTTCTTTTGTTTTTTGGGGTTTTTTGTTTGGTTGGTTTTTTGTTTTGGTTGGTTGGTTTTTGAAATCACAGCTTTAGACTTTCGTGCTTAAATCTGCCCACAGTTATAGTTTGTCTTTAATCTGAATGCACCTGGCCTAAACTTGCTGGAAAGCGTAACTGCATGGTATGGTTTTACCTTGTATTAACACACCCTTTGCCTTCTCTACTCTCCACAAGCACCTGCTGAAGACAAGACAACAGAAAGGCAAGGTTTAATCTAAGTCATGGCTGGGGTTAATAGTTTGCACACAAGAGCCGTGTTTACACAGGGCTGTGCTCAAACAGGAGGATACGTATCCATTTCTCCCCAGGTACGTTCCCGTTCCTTGGCAGGCTGTACAGGCAGGAGTGCACAGGAGCAGGCGAGATGAAGGTTACTGCACCTGAAGGTAACTGGCGATGCACCCGCTCTAAGTTCTGCCAGTTGACCACCAGGTGGAACCAGGGCTGCACTCGGGGAATTGCAGGAATTGCATCTCCTCCGGGGCTGCGCTCGGCTCCAAAACAAAGCCTAACAAAGCCCCTGCCCACCCCAGCAGAATCGGCATAAAGGCACCCACCAGCCTTGCACGTGGAATGAACTGCATCAGCACAGTGACGGCTCAGGCAGTGTTATTACCTGGCTGGTCAGCCCTTACCGTAACCACCAGGAACAATACTCAGAGTGTGTTTATCTCCCACCATCCCAGATCTTCACTGCCACTTTTTTGTAATTCTCTAACCTGAGGTTGCAGCTTCAGGACCAGCAAGTAATAGCACTAACTGTAAACTTTTAAATAAACAGAGGTAAGTTGTGTGAATAGCCCTGTTTCTGTAATTTTTGTTTCAATATTTTGCCAGCCTATGTCACTTCCCTGCCTTTGCAGACCCCTATTATCCTTTTGTCACTAGCAGGGTAGAAGTCCTCACCAACTGTGCACCAACTGTCCAGCCACCAGAGCAAACAGAAAAGGGATGGGCTATGCTCTAAACTCAGTGGATAAGAATGCTGATTTAGATTTCTCTTTCCTATCTAGTTTCCAACAGTCAAATTTATAGACAGCCTCATTGCTATTACCAAGTTTGGCTGAAAAATTCTGTACTTGACTAGTTAGGTGGGAAAGAGAGTAGAAACAGGACAGAGAGCACCACATGTACTTCTTCCTCTCCTTGTCTTTCTTGATAAAGCCTGGACAGTGTTTGAACAGAGAGAAGAATCTACTATACATACTAATTGAGGGACGTAGAGCTGTCAAAAAAACAAAAAGCATGCCAGAGCTCCCAAAGTAATGCTGCAACATTTAAGGAAAGAAAAAAATCTAAAGCTTTGGAACCTTTATAAATTCTGAAGTGCTAACTGACTTGTTGCACAGCTGAAGTTACTCTGTGTTTGTACAACATGGGAGCGGGGGTGGGGGTGTGAAAAAAAGGTTTTTATCTTAGGAGCCTGAGAACCAATGTTTTTCTGAATAGAGGATTCAGCTACACCCTTTATTCCTAAACATTTTGGCATATGTCACACATATTTTTTCTTTTGCTATGTGCCAATAAGCCCCTGTTCCTCCTAAAGAAGTAACATTCTACAAGGACAGCAGGAAGGCTTCATGCTGTACTCGGTCCTGTGAGCTGCCACATTAAAAACAGACTGCAGTCTCCCTCGCTGCCCCGCTAACATGCATAGCAGTATCTGAATAAAACGAACAGTTACCCTTTTATGTACCACCACGAGAACTGACCCTGTCCCTGTTGGTAATTGGAGATGGCAGGCTGAGTAAAACCATGTCCAACATTTAAGACTTAGTTCATGTGAGGACACTGTGATATACCAAGATAACTAGGAAGAGTCTTCTTCCTGGGTGAAAGAAAAACGATTTTTTTAGAAGTTACGTGTTTGTTACTGAAAAATTTTAAGCATGGAAGAAAAAAGGAATTTTATAAAACTCAGAATTGTACAGCAGCACCCCCATGCACTCAGTATTATTCCACACTGAAAAGTGTAGCTTTTCCTCATGCAAAATTAACACCATTTTTAAAAAATAATACAGTTGGAAATGATGGCGTTATGATACTGTTCCCATTTTCATAGTTCCTGGAAGAATTACACTGAACTTTAGTAGCCAGTTGAAAAGGAAGTTATCCTTCTTCCAAATTTACATTAACCAGCATAAGACAGAGGAGAGAGTTGCTGTTCTGAAGTTACTCTAAAGCATAAAAAAAACCCCAAACACCCAAGCAAAAAATACCACACACAACCCCTTCCCCCACTTTGCTATATAAAGATCAATGCACAGAGAAACTATTCTGAGATTTTTTTTTCTGTATTTGAACTGGTATAAAGGCCTTCAGTCTTTCTGCTAATTTTTAAAGCCGTTCAGTATGAGGAAGCTGTGTGAAGCCTGCTTTTTTCCCCCACAACATCAAAATTATTTGTATTTCCTCCAAGAGTAGTCTCAACTGAAACTAAATGAAGAAACATACAAGTATCCAGAGCAGAGATAGGTCTGAACATTGGCATAAACCAGGTATGAGGGACAACTTGCTTTAAAAGTACATTACAAAAATAGCATGTTCACATTCTGACCGGGGTTTAATATTAACATACCTAGATACTCTGGAAGGAAATTACAATCTAGTATTTCTGCCATGTAAACCCCTTCCTAGAACATCAAGATTTACTGAGTCTGAGTTGCTTACTTAATTCTTTTTGTGGAAGAAGCATGAGCTACATGAATTACACAGGTAATGGGTGGCTTGGTATTCATAATTTATTTGTATACAATCATCATGTACCCTGCCTCTGGGTACAGTAAGTTGAGTGCTGCATGTTCCCTCAGACACAACAACAGTCCTACAGTATAATGGGGCTACTTAAAGTGATGAAAATGTGAATGAAGGAAGAAAAAAATACAACAGCCTGTCAAAGAGATTTTGGAAAAAAATGTATCAGTCACAGCAGTTAACTGCAACAAAAACCTAGAAGAAGGTGGTGGCAGTCTGATTAGTCTCTAGCAGATGGATGGCTCTTCTACTGCATGGGCACCTTCAACAACGGCTTTCACACACTTGGCCATTGTCTGGGATGCTCTACTGATGGAATCTGTAAAAAAAACAAATCCAAACATGTCAGTGCACAGATACATTACAAAATAAATTTAGTATGAGACTGGACAAAAAGAGGTTAAATAAAATCACTTATTTGAAAATACAGTCTGTGCTTTATGTAAATTCCAAATAATTTTACTGAAAAATTTTGTTTCTTCAAAAGACTCAAATCTTATGTATCTTAGCAGAAAGCTTTAAATTAATCATAAGAACCTTACTGTAAAGCTAAGTAAAATGTTCTGATCTCAGAATGGAAAGACACACTATACATACCTGTCATATAGAAGTCTTTTATTGTGAGCTGAGGTGGAACAAGAGGATCAGCAAGAAGCTCTTGCTTCACTAACTGTGGTAAGAAGGGAAAAGAAAGTTACCTGTATGATAGGAGCTTGTTACCAAAGCATTTGTTTAGTGAATTCTGCATTCGGTGCAGGTCAAAAAAATGCTTCTTGTACTACATATGAAGATTTTTCAAAAAAGCATTATGCTATATAACAGCTCTAAATCATGCCAAGATGCTTCAGTTTTGCTTACCTTTGCCAATTCATTTGCCTGGATGAAGTAGTTTGCTTCTTCCACGTCATCATATCGAACCAGATTGGGTGATACTTCTTCTAAACGCTTCCGTATTTCATCAAGGGTCTCGTAAGGCAAGGTCAAACCAGCCAACTAAGAGATTCATGGAAAGAAATGCCATCAAGTCTAGGGATTTAACTCATAGTGGTTTAGATTACCAATCCATTAATATCCCTAAAGCAAAATGGGAAAAGTCAACACTCCTGAAAACACAGGCAGTTAGAATGCACAAACTGAAGCAAAGTCAGTTTTCTGTTGGACCTCTGATACCTATATAGACAACACCTCCCCATATTAAAAACCAGGCTGTCCTGTTTGCTATAGAAAGGATAAAAAGAAATGAAGTACTTTTCTCCTCCCATACTTGCATTTCCTTAGCTTACCCCCAAATGAGATAAAAGTTGATGCAATTATCAATGCATCTTGTTCCCTCTGAGTAGTGGGCATGTATTTGACCTCATCTAATGATACCAGATCCTGGCCTCAGAGTCTATGTTATTTTCTTTCTAAAAGGCAAGAAACTACATGCTCCCACCAGCTTCCTCAAAAGCACTTCAGAAGACCTTTGCAAAATTTGCAAAGCTTCACCCATTATGCCTTTCAACAGCATACAGCAGCTACAATATTAGAGCTATTCTCAAAAGGGAAACAATATGATTTAACTCAAAGAATTAACACAGGATTCAATACAGAACATTACTTCTTAAAACTATGTGTTTGCCTGAAAATCTCCCTTCTTTTTACATAGGAAAATATTTACACAAAGGAACTTAGTCTCTCAGTTATTAGAAGCAACTTATAACAGCAACAGTACCTCAGAGACAGCTCTAATAATTTTCCAGTCTTCCCTTGCCATCCCAGGAGGTGTTACTGCTACTCTTGTCTGCTGGGCCCGACCTTCAGTATTCACATATGTGGCTGCCTTCTCTGTATATGCTGCTCCTGGGAGAATAATATCAGCCATGGGAGCTCCCACATCCCCATGATGCCCTAAATACATGGAAAGAGGAAACAGTATACAACCATATGAGACAGAAGTAAGTAAAAATAAAAAGAAATGCTTTACTAAGATAGAATTTTTGTGTCCCCGAACAAAAAGGATTTTCTAAGTTTTGCTTAGCCAAAATCTGAAGCCCTTGAGGCTGGCTGCTCTGAGGTCTTACTTGGCTAATACTCTGGGGAGAATGAATGGAATACCAGCAGGAGTAAATGGTACTTCAGTCTCTATAGTCACTCAGATTTGGGAGGTTCTTGGAAGAAAGATTCTTAGATTAAGATACGATCATGTTTTGGTATGATAGAACAGCTGGAAACTAATTCTATTTTGTCTGCCAGGTCTGAAGCTAAGTTTCAGAAGCCTTGTACTGGTTTATTTCCCTTATTACCCATCAACAGTTTCCCATCTTTACCTAAGAAATAGTTAACCAGTATCTCAGTTATGTGTTACAAGTTCCCATTCCTGGCAGAAAACAAAGGCTAAAATTTCTCAAAGGGTTTTATGCCACTTCTTCACTTTTTCTCCAAATATTAAGACAACAACATTTCTTAATTTACATCTACTAATTACCTTGATAGATGATAAAACAGTCCTTTGGCAAGTCTTTACGCGTTATACAGCCCGAATCTGCTCCCAAGAGATACAATACTTTGGGAGGATTTTTCCTAATTGCCTCCACTCCTGGTTTGAAACCCAGGTCCAAAGCAGCGACTTGGCTTGCAACCCTGTAGGAACAAATACATCATGACTTTAAGTAATTTCAGAATTCTCCCTCTCCCATCAGAACAGACCTAACCTCTTTTTTTGACTAAATATCTTGAAGGGATGTAAAAGGTTCCTGATAGTAACAAGACAAACATGAAGCTCAAAGGCAGCTGAAATTTTTGACAGAGTATCAAGTTAGTTTTGCATTTTGACAATGTGATACCATTTAAAGTTTTCACAGGGAATCTCACCTATTTAAGATGAGATAGCAAAAATAAAGGCAGACACTGAAAATCAGGACCTAGTGGCAGGCAGCTCACTGGTGAAGCTTGATGCTCTAGATGACATTTCAGCTATGAATGGAACTCATCAGGCCTTTAATTTAGGGCACTCACATGGAAGATGAAAGACCAACTCTGGGGCCATCAGCTACTCTAAATCATCAAAGACTTAAGACCACTACTTAATCACTATTCATTTATTCACACATGAAATTATTTTTTAAAAAATGAAATTATAATTCCCATTTTCTGGCAGTCTTCCTTTTCCAAAGCAACAGTTTTGCATAATCCTCCATAATCAGGTGCCAGTCTTATTTAAAAGAAAAAAAAATCTCTCTATACAGATCTTCCAATGTAACTCATTTTGTCTGACACAGTCAGACATAGAGGTTTCAATAAGTAAAGTTGCTTTTTACACTTAAAGTAGAACGGATGGTGCACCATAAGTATGGAAGTCAATATGAAAGACTGCCAAACCACACTTGTATCATGAGTGTTCTTTAACTCATTGGTATTTTAGTACTAAATATTTCAGTTTCAGCAGCAGAATGTTATATTCTAGTTTCCTTCAGAGGACCAAGCCCTGCTCTAACTACACTATTTTTACACCAATGAAGCTGCTTTTGGCAGAAGAAATTCGTTGAGTCTCCAAAATTGAGAGCCATTACAATTGGTGAAATAATTTTTCCTTTACAGAGATGTTCAATTTGACAGTCAGAATTTTAGAAAAAAAAGGAGTGGTGAAGGACTGTCCAAAGAGAAGCTTGTCTATTAAAAGGAGTAATATCCTGACAAACTGAATAGCTAAGATCAAAAGCTCTCAAATGAAAATCTTTGAAGCCTTTCTATTAACTATTGAGTTGAGAAGCTGCACAGTAAAAGGAATATTAAAAAAACCTAAATGAAGAAATCGTATTATTTAAACTCTTGCCATTTTGTTTTTCTTCCTCTAGATAAAATGCAGTCATTTAACAAGTGACACAGGTCTGCTGTGCATCCTACTGAGCACTGTGGTAGATGTTATTAAGCTCTCTTGTATTCTACGTCTAAATTGAAACCTTAAATTCTATATTTGAATATCATCAATTAATAAAAATTCATGGAGAATCAGGTCAAGAAACCCATTTTTATTAAGAAGGTTTTGTCTAGCTTGTATTTCTGTTTTTCATATTCCCTACAGGGTTTAACCCAATAAGCCTCTTGCGTGTATACAAAGCAATGTGTACACATACATTGTGGTCACCTGTGTAGCCCAATGCGCAAGCAAGCTGCTCCCAAAAAGGTTTTAAAACACACCTGTGTAGGATGTTCATGACTTTCCAATCAGCACCAGCACCACTCCTGGCCCTGGCATTCTGTGCAATGGTGGAAACTGCAGCATGGATGGCAGCTCCGTCACCGCGCTGCAGGGCTGCACTGCCCACCACCACCATTGGCTTTTTGGCCTGGTCAAGGACCTGTGCAAGCCAAGAATCAGAAATTCATTCCACAGCTACAAAGACAATTCTTGATACAGATAATGTAGTAAATCCCAAAATTTTTCCATAGGTCTTCCATGCAAACCTATAGTTCCAAAATGGTCATAGTTTCATTTAGAGATAAAGCCAAGAGAAGCTGCTGTAAGCAGGAAACAAACTTGTCAGTACAGAACTGTACACTTGATAAGCACACATTTAAGTGGAAACAGCAGCATCTGAAACAGGCAGTTTTATGTCAAGAAATATCCCAGGAGTTTCCTGCACTGCAAAGTTTTATACACCTGAATATATTACACAGTTATACATGCTTGGTGCACGCTAATCATTACCTCATGTCTGCATTTGATTAAAAGCAAATAACCTCATCTACAACATGGACTTTTCTTCAAATCTGTCTCTGGGGAATTCAGATCATTACTCAATACCTGTGGAATTTAACAGTCACACTTTTAAGTTCTGTGTACCTTGGAGAAGGGATGTTTGCCAGAAGCAATGTCCTGAAGTATCTGTGGGGACTCTCCTAGATGTTCATACGTGTAGGTCAAATTCACAGGAGAGCCAACAAGGGCCACTTGCAAGTCATTGTGAAGCCAGCTGAAAATACAACAAATATTTTATTAAAATTAAAGAAATACAGAGTTTTACCCAATCAAAGCTATTAATTCTAACTTCAGCAGTAACTTAAAATAGGATTGCAAAGGAATTTAAATGGCATTCATTGTTTCGGTAAGATGCAGTTTAGCTTTATAGTGACTGTTAAGCACGCCTCTAGGTTTTTTAGAAGGATTATTTCTCTAGATATGTTCTGGAAATAGTACAGCAACACACCTTACAAGTTCATAACTCAATTCTCTCCTTCCCTCAAGCTTCTGCCAATTTAGTTTTAGAAATCCACTTATTTCTTAGATAAACACAGAAAAATTTAGCTGGTTAGAAATTTTTTCTTTTTTGCAGCTTCTCATGGCACAGACTTATAAAAATACATGAAAATAGATATTCAAAAGTCTCACTGCATTTTCTCCTTTCAAAATTTCAATGCCATTACTCTTTAAAATTATGCATTTTCAAGGATTAAGGATAGGACTTTTATAGACCTCATTTGCCTCATACTGACATATCTTATTAAAATTGAATTAGCTAGGTTCAGAAGTTTGGGAAAGCCACACTACTTGGCAAAGAAAATGTTAAACTGGAATGACTGCTTCTGAACTCAGCACATCTGATTTGTTACAATACAAAAAGCTGATGCTGAAAATAAATCTTTAAGGAATATCCTTTAACAGACTTCTACAAAACAGAAAATCTGAGGTGTCTGTGTAATGTAGCAAAGGAATAAATGTCTGAGTAGATGAACTTAATGTAAAATGTCAAAGTGAGAATAAACTAGCTCTACACTACAGGGTACTACCCTTTTTCCACACATAAATCACCATTCCCTTTACTAAAAGGTGAACTAAATCCAATGATCCCATCTGAATGAATGCTCTTGAGTTACTGCCTGCAGCTCCAACCGAGCATGTTATCAAATCCAGATGGATTCACATGCTTATTCACCACCAAGGAATACGAACCTCTTTCGAATTCTAGCATTAAAAAGCGGTGCCTCAAAGCGTGGATTGGTGCCAACCAGAAGGAGGACATCTGCCTCCTCCACCCCAGCAATCTTGGTATTCAGCAGGTAGTTAGAACGTAAATCTGTGCTATAACAAAAAGATGTAAGAAAGAGGATGAGAATTCAGTAGAGGATGGAATGCATCTATGGTAAAGATCGTAGATGCTCAAAATACTTTTTAATCTCAGGAAAAGGAAGAAAAAGAAGAGACTTCTCAGTCCAAATTACTAATCCTAATTGTACTAAAGTTTTCACACCACAAATAGAAATAGACAAACTCATCCAGCTCACAACAGAGGGTAACTGGCTTTCTGTGACTGACTGTTTAACTGCAGCAGCTGTACATTCAGTACAACATGGGCTAAGTGTGCAACCCTTGCTGGAGTAGAGACTACGAATCAACTCGCAGCCCATAAATACTCCTTATATGTGAGTATTGTAAATTCAAATAAATCCTGCTGATATATCAGCAGTTGTTATCTCTACTAATTTCAGAATATTGCCATGAGATGATTTGCAGACTGGAAAGCTTATTAACATACTAATTACAGACAGACATTGCCTGTCCTCTTACCCAGCTCCAGCAGTAGGAAAGATCTCTTCAGTGCAGAGTGTATCACAATTCACTCTATTCAGTAGGTCTTTCAGAGCTATTAGTGCTTCTGCATCCACCAGCCCTCCTACAATTGCTGCTACTGCCTTACCGTCCACTGCCTGGAGCTGGAGAGAAAGGAAATATAAACAAAAGAAAACACTGAAATAAATTCTCATTAGCCCACGTAAGTATTTGTTTTATTAGGGTGTGCCAAAGCCAGTAGTGCAACCACTGGCCTGGAGCAGCACAAACACATCAGTGGTGTCTGATTCCTGCCAGGCAGCAATTCCAGCTTCTTTGGAACTCATGATAAGCAAAGAAGAGCTCTCTGTATTTTATGCAAGTCTCTCCCACTTGAGTTATCACTCAGATGTAGCTAATTCTCATTTGGTGTGGTGAGAGAGGAAGGTTGGTGAATGCTTTTATTTTAACGAAGCCACAGTGCAGACAGAATACAAACTACCATAACACAAATTCTAGTAGTAAACTTAACTCAAAGGTATTATCTGAGAAGCAATAGCTTTTGTAACAAACCCTGCCACTGTAACACGAGCAAAAACATCCTTGAGGAAAGTTCAATTACAGTTATTCAATTCTACTTCACCCACATAAAATTTTTAATCAAAATCCAGAGCAGTCATGCAGCACTTCATTTGAGCTGCAGAATCAATCACCACACAGAGAAAGCACTGAGGAAAGCAAAATTCCGATATAAGTAATACAGACTTAATGTCTTTGATAGCAAAAGTGGTGATATCGCAGTTTAAATAAATTTAAAGATATCTTTAGATAGGTCAGAGTATTCGGGAAAATTGCTTCCTCCTAAATTTCTGAAGAAACAGTTTACTTTCCTATTTAAATAAAGGTGATGTCTCTCACAAAGCTCCAAATGAAATCATGATAAGAAAACGTTCTTTAAAAGGTCCAATCCATGAAACAGGAAATATTAGTCAAAATAAGAAATTTAAGTTGAAACACAATGGATTAGAAGTCAAATGTTCCCCTCTAACCTTAAAGAAAAAAGCCTTTTTACTATAACTAATTTGATATTAATATTTGTAATACATCCAGCTTGGGAAATTACTTTTAAACCACTTATTGAAAATTGCTCTTACCACACCAGCAACACGAGCTAATACATCCTCCCATGAGGCATAAACAAATACTCCTTTCTCATTTTTGATCATTGGCTGAGTAAGTCTCTGACGCTTCAGACCATCATAAGCAAACCTGAGTGAACACCAAGAACATTATAAAAGAGCGAAGACAAAGATAATTGTGTATAATTCTGTGAGTGAGTTTTCTATTTGCAGGCTTTTAGAAAAGAGAAAACCAAGAAGTATTTCCCCTGAAAGTTTAACTTTCTCTTCTCAAAAACTCACAAAACAATTAGTAATAGAAATAAGTTACTGTGAAAAAATGTTACAAAAATCAGAACATTAGAAAACTCAGCAGCTTCAATTATAGAATTAAAAACATATTTTACAATTATTCTTCAATGTAGCTTTACAATACTAACAGCTGAATACCAGAGTCAGTGCTACTGTGCACATTGCTGGTTCTGCAAAGTGTGCCTTTAATGCATGCATAAACACGTGTGGGTACAAGCACATCCACACACCTGGTTTTGTCAGATATCCATTCCTCATTGATATCTTCATGCAGCCTTGGCAAAATTCTCATCACTTCCCCAGTTCTCGTGCTCACTACGATGTTGCTTCCAACTGCATCAAGAACATCAATTGACTCTACTTTCCTGTTTAGAAGAACAAATAAACCACTTGCAGTCTGTTATATATAAGCAGCAAGTGTCTTATTTTTGGCCTGAATAGAGACAATTTTCTTCCAAGTAACTAGTATAGAGATGTATTTCAGATTTAGGGTGAGAATAGTGTGTTAACACAGGGATGTTCTAGTTGTTGCTAAGCAACATTTACACCACATCAGCTTCTCGCCCAGTCCCACCAGCAAGAAGGCTGGGAGGACACAGGCAGGACAGCTGACCCCAGTGGGCCAAAGCAATGTTCTGCACCACACAGCAGCAAGCTCAGCATGTGAACGAGGGGGAAAGCTGCCTGGGGGCTGCTGCTCAGGGCCTGGCTGGCTGGCTGGATGCAGTCTGCATCACTTGCTTTGTACATTTTAATTCTTTTATCATTATTGTAATTTTCTTCTTCTGTCCTATTAATCTGTCTTTATTTCAGCCCACAGATTTTACATTTCCCCCCCCAACTTTCTCTTCTATCCCCCATGGAGGGCTGAAATGAGCAACTGGCTATGTGGTATTTAGCTGCCTGCTGAGTTAAATCACAACAGTCTTTTCAAGCATCCAGTGTGGAGCATGAAGAGTTGAGGTAACAACAGATCCGACCAGAGCATGTGGAAACGAATCTTTTATAAGCACTCATTGTATAGTTTAACAGGTGCTGGTCTCAGAGTTGCTGCACACATTCTCAGAGCTGTGTTATGTAACACCTTGCTGCCTGGATGTGTTCCTTGTTTGCTGTTTATCATCTCTTGAAGGTGGGTTAAGGATGCCATTCTGTCACAGTGTGCCACTGGTTTATGACAGGACAAAATTGCAGGTGGAGACTGATGTGGTGCTTGCACTCAACACCGCTGCCGGCTCCGTGCTTCGGGAGCCTTCCAGCGGATACGGTTGGTAATTACAGCCTCCACCTTCCCGGAGAGCCCCTCTGCGGGGAGGAACCTTCCTCCGCCTGCCCCTGCTCCTCCAGACTAATTACAACAGCTCCTGGGGATTTTGAATATCCTCGGGATGGTCAAACCAGCATGTTCCTATGTTCGAGGCCAGGTCGGATAAAGTCTTGAGCAATCTGATCTAGTGAGAGGCATCCCTGCCTACGACAGGGGTGGTTGTGACTCGATCATCTTCAAGGTCCACTCCAGTCCTTAATGTTCTGTGATTCTGTCCCCTGAATGTGTTTCAGGTCTTGTTTAGAGTTAAACAACTACTTAAGAAAATCACACAGAAATCTGCTCTGAGGCTGAACAGCTTAGTTTCACAAGATATTTTAAATAGTATCCTCAACAACTAGTAAGTTAATGAATTTATGTTTTCCTTTATATGCATCTTTTACTAAGCAATCACCACAATCTACAAGTCCAAAACATTTTAGGGTAAAAACAAGGGCAGAACAGTCTACAAGCTATAACATTCTTCCTTTTCTTGAATAAGCTCTAAGTAACAAAATTTGTGTTAAATTCAGTCTGTGGAAAAGTCTACAACAAAAATGCAGAAAATAAAAATCAGAGAAAACCCTTGATATCACAGCTGAACATGTTCTAAGATAAAGAACACAAAAGCTGTGTGTTCAGTATGAGTTAAGACACCTACCTTGTCTCCCATGGGCGTGCAGTAAAGGCATATGGCTTGGAGGTAAGAGCACCAACTGGGCAGATGTCAATAATATTTCCTGATAACTCAGACATAAACATTTTCTCAACGTAAGTACCAACTTGCATATCATTTCCTCTTCCGGTTGTTCCCAAGTCATCTACCCCTGCAATCTCACTAGCAAACCTGGTAGGTGCACAAAGAAGGAGAAACACATCTGGCATGTACAACTGCAACATACAGCATTTTTCAGCCCTCATCTCATTTTCTTAAGAAAAAACATTAGTTCATACACCTGAAAGAAGAAAACAATTGTTTGGATGCATTAGCCAGTGCCATCACATGCAGGACCATCTGCAGAATTTCATTCAGAAAGGGCTACAAAAACTAGAGGGAGTTATATTAAAAAACACAGCAGTTCACGGTGTGAATACTCACTGTATTACACAAACTGAATCCAAGATTAGTCCTAACTAACAAGCACTTTCTAGAACTAGTTGGGTACATTGTATTCTTTTCCATCTGTCTCAACTTGGCCAGTACAGCATCTCAGGGCTACAGAACAGCATAAATATAGCTACCAGAGACTATAAAAAATAAATAAATCTTACAACTGTGGCTGAGGAAGTCACATATCCATTCTGGCACCAACACCATGGGACCAGTTCTGCCCTGCAGAACTCTGATTTCACTTTCATGCATTGGCCATCTTTCTCTATTTCCTGTCTGGTAGCTCCAGGAAACCAGCTATCAGTCACTAACAGAAATAAAATTTTTAAGTATAATCAGAAAATAGTTTTTTTTAAAAACTGACTACCCCTCATGGGGTTTCCTTCACTAGTAACAAACTGATACAAATATGCCTGCTGAGTACTCTCCTCAGGGAAATTAAAGGACTTTACCTGATGCATCGAGTGCACTGTATGCACCGTGTCATGATGGTTTTGACTAACGGGCCAATGTTCTTGTCCTCCACAGCACGTTTGCTCTCTCTAAATCTGCTCCTATCACTGCCAAACATCATTGACTGGTCCTACAACAGACAACAGAACACACACATATCCAGGCTGCTGGAAAGCACAATTTCACCTAAGAGGAGATCATTAAACATAAGTCTACATAATTTCATTGGATTTTTTACCTGCAGATCACATTCTCCACCCTGATCACAGATAGGACAGTCCAATGGGTGATTTGCCAGCAGAAACTCCATTACACCCTCTCTGTTAGGTTCAGAGAATGAAGTTAATGTCAACTTAACACCACTTAGCAGACAGTATAATTAATCAGCCAAAGGAGGCTAAAAGAAAGATACCTTGCTTTCCTGGACTTCTCAGAGTTTGTCAGTATATTCCAGCCCTTCATGACTGGCATGGCACAAGCAGCAACGGGCTGTAATCACCACAAAAAGCATGCATTAACACAATATATTTCTTCTCAGCATGGGAACAAACCCCCACCTCCCCCCTCAATTCTAACATAAGTTTCTGTTACAAATAAATAGAAATAAAGAGGTCTGCAAGAAAAAAAAAAAAAGATAACCGAAAAAGTCATTAGACGCCACATTTATTAATAATCTCCTATATAAAAATGTTAAATTAGTTACGATTTATTTAAAGTTGAAAATTCTACAGCTCCCGGTCCCAATTCAAGCAGTTACAGCATTAAGAATATCAGGTGTAATCAAAGTCAAATAAAAGAGCTTCAGCAAACACGCAGAAAATCTCTAGAACTAAAATTCAGAGCATGAATCATTTACAAGACATTTATTTGCACACACTTTGTATAAAGTCTTGGAATAAAATTCTTCTCAAGATTACTGCAAGATTAACAAAAACTCCTGCTCCATAAATAAATCCCCCTTACTTTTTAATCACATAATGACTTCCACCTTTAGTGATAACCCAACATATCCAGAGACACAAAGTTCAAACTATGGAATTGAAGTTAGGGTGAGCTAAAAAATTTTATGTGTCAGTATAAATGTGTAATCCAAAACTGAACTCCTAAGGAACGTGCACAGATTTCTTAGTACTGCTGAAGACAGTGTTCACTCCTGAAATCAATTCTTTCACAACAGATATCAATGCATTAAAATATAAATAACTAGCTAACTGCAATCTTTACTTAGAATAAACCTGCAGATGCTAATCCTACAGCTAAATTTATACACTATTTGAAGTTTATTATTTATGCAGTATCAGCTGATAATGTGTGACTGAAGCTTGAACTACAAAGCGTAAATGCATCTAACAGCAAACACACAGCTATCAAATGCTCATGTCCAAGAGCAAGATAGTCCATAATAACCTGAGAACTGACTCTGACTCATAGGCAATCACTGCAGTCCAGTGGGGAGATGAGAAAAAACTGCTTTGAGCAGCTGAATGACAACTATTTACAAGATTTAAACCAGGTCCAAGCACAGCAAAAAATTCCTATTGCATTCCACATTGCATATCCCATATTGCAATTCCTATGAAACACAAACAATACCTTTGGAGCTTTCTCTATTTCCACAAGACACATCCTACAGTTGCCAGCAACAGAGAGACGATCATGGTAACAAAAACGAGGTATCTGAACTCCAGCCTTTTCACAGGCCTATAAAAAAATAAGAAACAAAGGGAAATTAAATCTTAGTTAGACTTTAAAGTTCCACCTCAGAAAACACTATGCAGCTTTTCAAAGAGTAACGCTGTCAGTGTTCAAGAACAGAGTGCACTTGACCTTTCATCTTAAGAAGTGACCATAAATAAAAAATTGTGATGAAGTAAAAAAAAAAGTCAGGATATCAATTACAAATATAGTTTTTCTAATCTTTGTGATTGAGGGAATGAGAACTAACCTCTCATTCCTTCCACCAATAATAGAGAGAATTCTCTGCAGCTGGGCACTAGCACTTTTTACAGAAAAGTGCATCAGAATAAAAATTGAAGAACATAAAAAGAGCACCACGAGCATAATGATTTCTGATAATCCAACAACACAGATACTCTGTATAAAGGCACACCAGCACAGTCAATCTTCAACTCCAACACACCCCAAATTCAAAGACAACACGACAGAAGAAGAGACAGGAGACAACAGATTTCCAGAGAACAGATAAGACAGCCTTTCCTGCATAAAACCTCCACAGATAATGGGATCTATGCTACAGCATTATAGCTATGCCTGCTAGAAGAAATACCAGCAAATTTAATAAAAAAACTCTAAGAAGATCTAGTTTTTCTGGCAATTTCTATCAAAAATAACCATATTAGCTAAACTGAAAAGCTAATTTTAAAAAATACTATTTAAGAAAAATCTACAGTAGGTTCCTGCTGGGGACATTTTCATGCCTAAATAAATTAAGAACTTGTATCCAAAGAACAAGGGCTATATCTTGATATAAATTGTGTATTTTAATGTTCTAACTCATTATACCACATCTTAATTTAATGGCTTTTTTTAAAAAAACCCCAAACTTTACTTGAAATTTTAGCCTGAAAAGTAACAATGCTCAGTACAGGCTGGAATATCCAGATTCCCCTTCTTCCCACAGGATAATAAAAGGATATTCCCCAAGCATAATAAAAGTAGCTAAGGATGAGCATTCTGATTCCTAATAACTAATAACTAAAAGGAGACATTCCCTCATTTACCCAAGACACACTGTAATAAGATACAAAATGTACGGGTTCTGAGAGACGACAAGGTCATGTAGTGTTCAGAGATACAACTTCAACCAGAATTTATCGAAGTCTGTCTGCATTGCATAAGGTTTTGCAGCTGGGATTGATGCTGCATGCATTTTCTTTCAGGCATCTATGGCATATTTTCCTTTTTCAAGCACTGAATTTCCCCCAAGGATTTCTGTTACATGAAACTGCATCACAGTCAGTTAAAACATCCCTAAAAAATTGCAAGAAACATAAAGGCCGGTGGCTTTTTGCTATATGGAACAGAACATGTTGCCAAGAAGTGAGATGGGAAGTCCCAGAAAATTGAGAATGCCACTCCCCACACCTGCAGTACTGTGGTTCCGGGGTTCACCAATACAGGATGGCCATCCACAAACACCTCTATTTGGTTGCTGGCTGCTGTTGCAGTTGTACGTCCTGAAGGACATGGAAAAAGAAAACAAAAACAACTTTCACTTACTGCTAGATGGAAACCATCAGAACCCCCACTCCCGATTTTAGTTAGAGAATGCTGATAGAATCCTAATTCTACCAGCAGTGCAACACAGACTCTGTGTGCCTGCAAACCGAGTACGCATATGTGCCCTTCGATAAATGAACTGCACATACATTTCTCATCAGAGACCCAGATATAAACTACAGATACTTACCACATACTCTGGAGGACTGGGTGACCCCAGCTAAGGTCCTGGGGACAGCAAGCAGTCGAAGCATGGTGCTTTGGTAAGAGAGAAAACAGTACTGTTGTTATCAGTTCAAATGTTTGCTGGCAAGTTTGAAACAGGCAGAGCAAAAACTTCTACACCAGTGACAAAAGAGCACGAATGCACACCTACATGTACAGTTATGGGAGAGTGAGTTACCTCCTTCAAACGCAAAATATGATTCTCTAACAATCTATACATCACACATAGGAAGGAATGTCACCGAGAGGCCTCTCCGCCTGCAGGAGAGCGCCGTCCCCGGCCCCGCTCCCCCACAGACAGGACGGCGCAGCTCGGCGGCGGCGGACCCGGTGTCGCCTTCCGCGGGGCCGAGAGCACGGCCGGTGACAGAGCTACCCGGCGCGGGGGTCACCTTGGAGGCGCCGCCGCCCGCCGGGCAGCCCCCGGCCCGCTACCCGACCCGTCAAGGACATCAGGAGCGGCGGCGGCGCCCGGAGCGCCGGCGCCCGGAGCGGCGGCACCCGCGCCCACCGAGCCCGCCCGCAGCGTCACCGCCGTTACCTGGCGCAGGACGAGCGGCGGCGCCGCGGGACGGCTGCGCTCCGCCTCGGCCTCTATGGCGGCGGCCTCGGGCCTTTCCGCCGCTGGTCTCAGCCTCCTTCGGCTATCTCCGGAGCCCTCTTCGGCAATCTCCGGAGAGAGAAGTCCGCATTCGGCAACCTCCGGAGCGACCCGCTTCGGGTATTTCCGGCAAGCTATCGGAGAACGATGACACGGGCGATTTCCGCCGCTAGCCCATAGCCTTTTCGGCCACCGTCACACGCACCGCCCTACCCTCGGCAATTTCCGTCCCTTTCCGCCTCTTTCTTCGCCCAACTCCGGCAACTTCCGCTGTGCCAGCAGGGAGGGGTGTGGCGACAGTACAACGTTACAAAATCCCTGAAACGCCTCAAACCTTCTTAGGGTTTATAGTCAGCCTCACTTCTATTATTTTGACGCTTTCCCACACCTCTGGTGTCCGGTCTGCCGCATGGCCTGCGCTGCAGCAGCCGACCCGTGAGGAGCTACCTCGCGGCTCGCTCTCGCGGAGGAATACAATTGCGCGCAGTGCCGCGGAGGAATATCAGCACTATATAAGGCTGGCGCAGGCGCGTCGAGGCCCTTTCCTGCGGCGGTGGCGGTCGGGGCGGGCGCAGCCGCCATGGGCTTCGGGGACCTGAAGTCCGCCGCGGGCCTTCGCGTCCTCAATGACTTCCTGGCCGATAAGAGCTACATTGAGGGGTGAGAGGCGGCGGGAGGGTGCCGGGGTGCGGGGAAGGTGAGTCGGGCCTGGCAGAGACAAGCGGTGGAGACGCGGGAGGGCCCCGAGTCACCCCGGCAGCTGCACGGGCGGCGCTGCTCGGCGGCCGCCGCTGCTCCACGTGTTCCTGCGTGCCTCGAGGAAGGGAGTTCATTTGGCTTGTTCTCCGCAGGTACGTTCCTTCGCAGGCTGATATAGCAGTCTTTGAAGCGATCGCTGCCCCTCCGCCTGCAGACTTGTTCCATGCTCTCCGGTGGTACAATCACATCAAGTCGTATGAAAAGCAAAAGGCAAGGTATGGTTAAACTCCGAAGGTGCGATATCTCCCTGGATTAGCCTACAAATTGTTGCGTGCCTTCGAGTTTGAGCAAAATTGGTTTCCAGTGGCACCACGTGGCATTTTGTGTTGGAACACAAACAGCTCCAGAAAGAGGGCAGACCTCTGCTGTCAGTACAGAGGACAAAATTAATGATTTGCAAAGAACATGGAAAGAAAACGGGATGTGAAAGAATATAGTATGTCTTTTCCCGTTTACTGGTTTTAAGTGTTTGTGAAAGGTGCTGTATTGTCATCCATGGAGACTGCAGGCCTCTCTGAAAAGGTATAGCATAGGTAGGTCAGTATTGCTACACTACTTTCTCTGAGCTCCAGTCTTCTTTGGAGGAAACTCATCCAAAAATGGGTGGCTCAGTCTCTTGTCCATTTCTGAAGCTTTTGTAATGCTAAAGGGGACTGAGATTCTGAAGTGGTTTCTCAAAGTACCTGGAAACTGCATACAGTTCCTGAAATCAAAGGCCAGTTTTATGGCTCCGGTAGCAGCTGTTCACATCAACAATACAGCTATGAGCTTATTCTAAGATAACAGGACTATATGACGTGCAAGAGAAGATAAATTCAGGGAGTTTTGATCCCTCGTCCTGTTGAGAGTGAGGGTTTAGGGTAGTGTTCGCTGAAATGTAGGAAAGTAGCAGTTAACTTGCAGTAATGTGTTTTCAGTAGCTTAAACCAATAAAAGTAGTTCTAGGGAAGTATGAACAAGAAGTTGGTAATTCTTCCTAGACAGAATATAGTGCAGATAAAGGATTCCAATAACAAAGTTTTTCCCATCCATGTGCTTAGTTGGGCAGGATCGTACCAGCTTTGATGAGCTACAGCAAATCCCATTTTCAGATTACTCAGCTGGCATGTCATGAGCATTGGGGGCTGTCTTTCATGAAGTTCTGATTTCAAGTAGGAGCATTGGATTTTTATTTTTAGCACAAGTTTTTCATTATAAATGCATTCGTGGGTGCCTTGATAAACTGACAGGGATTGTATTGACGTTTGAGTAGGTTCCTAATACCTGCATTTTTCTTTCAGCTTGCCAGGAGTAAAGAAGGCTTTGGGAAAATATGGTCCTGCAGATGTTGAGGACACAACAGGTGCGACCACAGATAGCAAAGATGATGATGACATTGACCTTTTCGGATCTGATGATGAGGAGGTACTTGTTACCCTTTTGTATTATTTTTATTGCTTTTTAGAAACTACACAGGTTTGCAGATTTTCACCTTGATCTAGTTGAAGTTACTTTTATTTCTGATCTTGATAACAGATCCTACTGTAAATTCTCAAGTGTAGCTATCTTTGTTGAATAGGAAAGCTTGGAAGGTAAAAATCTAAAACTTAGAAAATAATGTATTGGAATGGGGTGAACCGTCCAACTTTGACTGGTTGCATGATGAGTAAAACAAAAAATCACCATCTTTCGGCTGACAGCTGTGATGATTTGTTTTTATCTGAATTATACCAGTCAGTTTGTAGCGCTTTGGAGATGTGGAGGTTTAGAGCTGCTCTGTAATTGTAAATTTCTCTTTTCAGGAAAGTGAAGAAGCCAAGAAACTGCGGGAGGAACGTCTGGCCCAATATGAATCAAAGAAGTCCAAAAGTATGTGTGCTGAGAACTTCCTAATCTTTTATACTTGAGTTAATTTTCATGCATTTGAACGGGATGGCTAGAAACACTAATTAACTGTAATAATAGATCAGCTTGACTGGAATAAGAGAGGAGTAATTAGTTTCACTTGACTTGCCGGTGAGCTCAGCCTTCCCGTAGCAAATAGGAATGTTAACATGCTTTTTGTTCTGGTTCTTGCACTCCTGCTTGATCTTTCCAGAGACTCAGGTTTAGAGAAACTGCTGCTGTACACAAGTTACTCCACAGCTACTGGCCTGGAACTGTTCAGAACTGTAGCAGTTGCAGTATTCCCTCTGTGGAAAATAAACTGTTACACAGCATTAGGTTCCTTCTCAGATGATCTGAAAAGGACTTCCTATGTAACAAACATTGTCAGCTGCTTAAATCTGTGTCTCTATAATGTATCTGCATATTGAATGTTGGGATGTGCACAGCTGCAGTACTTCAGAAATGTACGTTGATACCAGAGGCCTGTCACAGCAATGTGAGCAGGTTCTTGTTCATGAAATTGGATAAGCTGCTCTCGTAAAACCAGTTTGCAAGCGTGTTCATGAGTTTTTAAAGGATTCCTACCTTTTCATGGTGATTTTCTTCACCCAGAACCAGCTGTTGTTGCCAAGTCATCAATCTTGCTTGATGTGAAACCTTGGGATGATGAGACAGACATGGCCAAACTAGAGGAGTGTGTTCGAAGCATTCAAGCAGATGGCTTGGTCTGGGGATCTTGTAAGTATGGGGAAATTTCAGAGCAGGGAGAGAGGGAGTGCAGGCCCTTGGGATGATATATGAGTAGTTGGACTTGTGGTCACTGTTTGCTGATCTCTGAAATGTAGAAATGCAAATTTAGTGGCCTGGTTAAGATCCAAATGCGGGTTTTAAAAGCTTTAAAACTTAAGCTCTGCTATCCTGCATTTCCCTGTACAATTCCTGATGCCACAAACACCTTTACCCGCCTGCATCACTGATTTGGGGAAAGGAGTGGAGGTCCACAAAAAGAAACTTCTTCAATCAGTTGTTACGGGTGCTGGGTTGTTAAATAGATGGTCCATAATGTGGACCAAAGGCTGTTTTTCTATATTCCTGCGAATTGCTTTGGTCAATTCATTCTTGGATCTCTGTGTTTTTAAACGATTCCACCAATAAAGGAGGACTTAAATGCTTTTTTTATTTTGCAGCCAAGCTAGTACCTGTTGGCTATGGTATCAAAAAGCTTCAGATACAATGTGTTGTTGAAGATGATAAAGTTGGAACAGATATGCTGGAAGAAAGAATAACGGCTTTTGAAGATTATGTACAATCAATGGATGTAGCTGCTTTCAATAAGATTTAAGTCTTGATATATCTAGAATAAATGTTGTTGCAAAAAATGTGCAGTGTCTGTGTTTATTTCAGAATCTTTGAGTAATCCAGCTCACAAATGTAATGTTTTCTTAGTGGGTAAAGTAGAAGCTGAAACTGAATTTCAAGGTTGCCCTAACACCTCACTGTAGTACCCTGGCGTGTGAACAGAGCATCACTTCAGTTAACATTACCATGGCTTTAAAATATTGAAATGCTCTTTGCTCCATCTGCAGAAGAAATTGCTTCTTTGGATATGTCTAGAGTTCCTCTGGGAGCAGAGATGGTTATAAGGGAAAGGAGCGGGGCTCAGTAAAGGTCCAAGTAATGTTTTAGTGAGTAAACAGTAGTATAACTTTCCTTTTGTTTAGTAAGGGTGGTGACTAACCAAATACACTACAGACTTTGTTGACTGCTGAAACCAGTGAGAGAGAGAGAGGAAGCTAAGTTCAAAGTGACTTGCAGTGCTCTGGAGATAAGGCCTGAGACTGTCCTGGTATTTTCTCATCTGTTCTATGGCTGGGAACTTTTTTGTTTTTTTTTTTCCTCAAGGTTGGAAACATTTGCGATGAAACAACGTCGAGTTTTGTCGTAATTAATAGAGAAAGAATGAAGCAGGGGAGGCGCTTCCCTGCGGGGCGCGGGCGGTGCCTCTGGGGGGCGCTGCGAGCCCAGCGGTGCCCTGGGGCAGGGCGGGACCCGGGAATTCTCCACGGGAGTTAAGCACGGGCTGCAGCCACTGCACGGCTCTGTCCCATAAACTGCGCGCTGAACTCGACACGTGCTCATGACTTGGACAAGAGAAAAAGAGCTGGAATTGTAAGCACATAAAGGGTATAAAAAGTAGTGGCATTCACAGCACTTTGAGCTGTTTACTCCAGGTTGGTTTCTAGATTGATTTTTGACATTTATTTTAGTGATAGAAGAACCAATCAGGAATAAATCCCAAAATCTGTCTATGAGAATGATACCAATGCAGAAGCTGTCAAAGTTACGAAGCTTCTAAACAAATTCATAATTTTAGGCTGTGTGTTGGACTGACAGGATTTATTGTGACCATGAAGTGGAATCCTTTTATGTGCTGCATTGGTCACACTGAGATGAAGATGCTCAGTGTCAAAGTCTGACAGCAGCAGCTTAAGTAATTCTTTATTGTTTTTTTCACAGAGCATCTGTGTGGTTACCTGGCACAGCAGGTCCTCTTTCTCCTTTCTTAAAGGTCTGCCAACTTCAGATTATGTAAGAGCCTTGTTTATAATTTGTCTTGGGAAAAAAATCTGCCTGCTAGAGGCTTAAAGCATGGCTAAAGATCTGAAAGTGAGTATTGTTACAGGCTCACTTGCCACCTTCCATAAACCTAACTCCTGAACAGTATCCTTTCTGTGGCAATTCTCTAGCTGTTGTTTCTGCTTAGTTTTACCAATTCTGTCATGGTGCTCTTAAAAGCAATAAATTAGCAAATACCATATCAGAAAAACAAATTATTAAAAATTCTTCCTCAAAAATATAGATTTTATTATCTGTTTCTGACTTCCCATTCATTCAGTGTGCTGCTTACCTTGATACTCAAATTAAAGCCCCAACTGAATGAAATGGTTTGATTTATGGATGGTAACTTTGTTAAAATACAGCACTGAGTCATTCGTGTGACCTGCCAGACTGGATTTGTGTGTGTTACATTTATGCTAAGCATGCACTTTACTAGCTCTTCTAGCTCCCTGATTCTTGAGATTTCTTGTGAGTTGGGTTTTGGCAGGGTTTTGTTTTTGGGTTGTTTTTTTTTTTCCCCTGATATTAAAAAGAAGGTTGCACAGAAACAAAAAAAATCTAGACAGCACAGCGTTCCCAGTGAAAAAATAGGTAGGAATGTGGGCAAGAGTATTCTACTCAATCCACATATATTTGTGTTAAGTGGTTTTGGGTAGTGTTTGGGTATCTGTTGGTATGTTACTGTGTCATTGTGCTTTTGAAAAATCAACACCCTGGAATAAATGAGGCAAGTATCCCAAGTGCATCCCATTACAAAGATCAGTAGAAAATTCTGTAACTTCAATATGTTCTGTATGGGAATACTGGGAAAACCGTTTTGACAGAAACTAATCTACATAAAAACCTTCAGAAATACAAACTCTTCAGGAAGAAGATAAAAGTAACTAGAACCTATCCATTATGAAATGTATCAATAGCTATTTCTATAGTATCTCTTTGCATGATGACAGAGGTTCCTTTCCTTTTTCTGGCCCCTTTTTTCCATTGTGAGTCAGACGAGCATTCCTCAGTCCAAGCAGAATTGTTGGTATTGTTTTGCAGATTCTTTGGAAACAGAAACTTAGAGCATTATCTGTTCTGTTTAGATATCTTGCGTTACTCTTGAAGAAATGATTTAGATAATTCTGTAACTGATCTTGGTGTGAAGAGTAGCAGTTACATTGCACTATTGTTGATCCACTCAATGCCATAGATCAAGGCTGATTTTGGCCTCATTCTATTCTATCTTCTCTTTCTCTTGTCTGCTTCAGGCCCTGCTTTCTGATCCTTTAGGCAAGATATATGCTCCCCCATTTGAAAATCAGTCTCTGTGCTGTACACAGGAACATGTGTGTGCACACAACTGAAGAAAGCTGACATGAAACTTAAATTTCATGGAAGAAAGGGCCAAGGTTTGATTTCACCTTCCAAAATCTTTGGAAAGGAGCTGTTATAAGGAAAGCCAGTCACTACATCTTGCTGCTAAGAAAAGCAAATGAACATGCTTTTTGGAAACAACAAAATTTTATTACCTCACTTGGACTACAGCCAGGAGAGTACATCATTCTTAGAAAGATGTCAGGGAACATGTGAAGAAAAACTGCAAAATGTTTGATTTAGGCACATATAGCAGCATGGTGCCAAAATATTATGATGAGCAATTATGTACCAGGCAGCAAATGACTCAAAGGAAGAATGTTGCTTACCAGCTTTCCAGCCCAAAGGGAAATACACTGAAATTCCACTGATCCTGCCTGACTCTCAGACTCTGAAATCAGAGCCCAAAGAAGTAGTTACAGACCACAGTCAGGCTGTTTCTATTCGTGCAGCTCCAGTATTGGATATGCATACATATGTATTTTATACAAAAGCAAATCTATTTACATATAAGGCCTCAATTACAGCATAAATGCTACTACTGTGTTGGCAGGCCATATAAACCAGGTAAATTATCTGAAAGGCAGTTTTATTCTATATGCCTAGGCCAATAACTAGGAAAAATCAATTCAGATTTACCCAAAGCTCTATGCTTTTATTTTCAGTAGAGTTTTGTCCCACATTCAACTTTTCAATTAAGTGGTGTTGCATCAGAAATTGGTTCACTCCACATAGCATATATATATATTTGCATTGGTGCATGTGTGATTCTGCAGCAAGCAACAAGTTGGAACAGAATACAGCATAACTGGATATACTTCATCTTTCCTATGGGAGTGGACTCCATTTCCTGGATGAACTGTCTTGCCTCTTATTCGGAAAAGAAGTCCAAAACTGGCTACAGACTTGTAACAGAATACTGATGAATTCACTCCACCCATTTTTTTAAGCTTGGCATTAAGGCAAACAAAACGTTATATTATTTCTTTGCCTTTGCTTGAAAGAGAAATAAAGAGCAATCAATAGTTGTAAACCTCTGTAGGACTAAAATTTTAAAGATAGAAAAAGAGGTGTGGCACAGAAGCTGTAAGAAATATTTTTCACTAATTCTTTGCACATTTCAAATCAACCTAATACCTATATGAAACATCTGCTCAGTATTTTGCAGACAGTTGGTGCTAAAAATACAACAAGTGACCAGAAAACACAGGGTCTCTTGTCTTAATTTTGAGTACACGGTAATGAGCACTGGGAGAAGACAGGTTTTATTTCCATAATTTTCTTTTTTGACAATAGAAGGCAGCAATTCAGTGCTCTCCATCTTGGGATTCTTCCCCAGCTGCAGAGTGGAGCCACTGATTGTTTCATTTATGAGGGATGTAGCCAGGGGATTCCTCCTTGGGGCAGTAGTAGGCAATCAGGAGACTCATGACCCAGCGATGTACAGCCACAGCCTCTTGGATGAGAGGCTCATTAACCTCAGTTAAGAGTGGTATCAGCAATGGCAAGGAGGAATATGTTTATTATGTGTTCTTTTGATATCAATGAGCTATGGAACTGCAGCAAACCAACAGGATTACAACAACATTCCTCATCAAAAGCCCAGTTGGAGTAATTCCACCTATGCTGATAACTTTCAGTTCAGGCTGTATGTGCATTGCAAGGGCACACATCCAAACCATGTGTCCCTTAAAAACCTTTCAGTTAAAGCAGCACGTGCAATTAAGCCAGATGTTTGCAGAAATCTGTATAGGCAAAGATGCACATCTGACTGGCAGGTGTGAAGAACGCCTCCAAATGTCCTGTGAGCTCCTTTGGGGAGAGCTGGTGACAGGAGCAGTCACTGGGCAGTTTCACAGTAGTGCACAGGCGCGTTGTCCGAGCTCCAGAGCTGCTCGCTGACCGTTCCCGAGCGGCTCACCTCCCACAGGGCCAGCTTCAGCACCTCAGACACCGTGGTCTTCACCTGGGCTTGGAACTTCTTGCTAATCAGAACGTAGAGGATTGGGTTGAGGCAACTGTTGATGAAACCAAGGCCAGTGGAGAGGGGAATGCCATCCTGTAGTAAGTCATGCAAGTTTTCATCATGGTGAGCAGACAGCTCCACAATGCTGAATATATGGTATGGTGTCCAGCAGACAAAAAAAGCTACAACTACAGCAGTGATGGTCCAGAAAAGCCTGCTAGAAGTCAACACAGTTCTCCTCTTCACTTTGACAATCAGCAGTGAATAGCAAATAACCATGGTCACTAAAGGAAAGAGGTAACCAAATGCGAGCCTCACCCAAATGAGAATGTGATGTGTCAGCAAAATAAGTTCTCTGTCATGCACATGGAAGTTGTTGTAGCAAATGGTGACATTGTTGAGAACTGTAGCTGTGTCTCTAAAGTATAAGGCAGGGCC